CCCCTCCCCCCTTTCCCCCCTCCGTGCAAAGCACAGCTAAGCTCACAGTTTTGAAGTTGAATCCATATTTTCGACTCTACCATTCCCTTATGTACTCCCTCATGAGGCTTTGCTTGTATACCCTCTCGAATTATCGACGTGGGGTTCTCTACTCTTTATTCCATCAAATTACGAGTGAATTACAGCAGTAAAGGTACGGCGAGAGTAGTTAGAGACTCTGTTGTTACTCTCTTAAGAGAAGTATGACATGATAAATGCGATGTTGGAAATGAGCGTCTCCAGGAATGTGGTATCAGAGAGTATCTTACAAGTATATCTCGACTAGCTAATGCGCATCAATGCTCTCCTTTATCACGGCTTTCGCTCGTATCACCATACATGCCAACGCCAGTGAAAATACTATACCAATACACTTACTCATCCAAATCCCACGCCTTGTCCTGCCCTTCTTCCGCCAGCTTGCCTGCTGCCCCTAGCCCACCCATTGTCACAGTCGACACCGTCGACGACGATTCCCCACCTAATCCTGCCCAATACAGACTGAGGAATACCAACATATGCAACGCCACGCAGTACGCCGCGAACATATTCCGGCTTGTCCGCGTGGACAGCACCATACGTGTGATGCTGAACACGACCCTTTCGGGCAGGCTCATACGCTTATAGGCGCGCGCACTCTCGCGGCCCCGGAACTGCGCGAAGGGACTGATATTGGACTCGTACGCTGAGCGGTAGCGTCCGAGCGTATCGCCCGGTGGCGAGGAGGAGGAAAAGGGGACGGTGGACTGCTGGGGGGCGTTCGAGACGGCAGAGGAGCCGGTGCGATTGTATGAGGAAATGTAGCGCGTTTTCTCGTAGAGGTTGAGGTTGTCCTTCTGGAGGGACGCAATCTCAGAGCGCAGGGATGTGACGGTCCTGTGTGCTTCTGACACCTCGTTGGAGAGCTGAGAGTTGAGCTTCTTGAAACGGTCTCGTTGCGCAGTTATCATCGGGAGGATACCAGAGCCGCCCGAGGATTCGGTCATGGAGGAGCGGGGATCCAAACCGGATATGATGGACGATGTCGGTGAGACGCGGCCACGGCGACTTTGAAAGGCGGAAGGGGCGTGTGATTGAGGGTAGTGTGATTTATATGTTCCGGCCACCGAAGCACCGGATGGGAAGGCATTGGAAGACTCTTGTTGGACCGTTGCGAGGTCATTCTCCAAAGTAACATTGAGATTCTGTGCAGTCTCAAGATCGGCAGTAGCGCTGTCCAGCTCTCTTTGCATGATTTGGAGACGGCTCTGGAGGTCTTGATGTGAGACTCTCAAGATTGTTAATTCGTCACCGAGCTTCTTATTACGTGCCAATAGGAGCTGTTCCAACGTAGCACCCTTTGATTTAGAAGCCGAGTCGCCGTTGGTAGTCTCAACGGTCTCATCATCATCGTCACCAGTCGAGAACTCAATGCTCTTCAACACTTCAAGCTCTTGCTTTACCTCGTCGTAGTCGTTCCATTTCTTCACCTTCTCCGTCAGAGTATCCCTGTCCTCCTTGAGAAGGCCAATCTCTCTTTCGAGAGAGCGTAGTTTCAGGTCCAGGTCTCGCTTCTTGGAGTCTCTTTCGATCCTTGCAGCGTCAAGCTTGCTCAACAGAGATGAGTTCTCGGATCGAAGGCGGAGATAAGCGGGTTCATCCTCAACGATAAGGGCAGGCTGACTTGGTGTTGACGACGCCGTTTGGGCCAGTTCGATGCGAAGCTGCTCGTTCCGCGCCTCTACCTCGGCCAGGCGAAGGCTTGTGCGCTCTAAATCGGAGTTTACGATTTCCAATTCAGCATTGGTGACA